CGTCAGTCTAACTCCGTACTACAACAACCACAAGACAACTTAGATTAAGGCCGTCAGTCTAACTCCGTACTACAACAAAACAAAAAAACATGAAGAGTGGCAGCCGAATAACCGTGGACGCGTGGCGACGTGGAGGGGATGAACGGGACGAGGACACTGAGACACATCAACGCGGTCACCGCCACGGGGAGAGAGACGCAGACCCCAAATATACAGCAGCAGCAGGCCAGGCGAGGTAGTCAACATCTCATCAGGGTCACGTGATCGAACCCACGATCTCCTGTACACCAGGCGAGGTAGTCAACATCTCACCAGGGTCACGGGATCGAACCCACGACCTCCTGTACACCAAGCCAGGTAGTCAACATCCCTCAGGGTCACCACGGGCACTTTGCCACAGCTGTGAGTGCGCGCTACCTGGGCACCATTTGCCTTTGTGGGAGCAGCAGACACCCACCGCCTGCCACGGGCGACTATAAATAGACGCGAAACGTCGACACGGGGTTCACGTGGACCGCCTCGACTATAAATAGAGGCCCACAGAGCCAGACTGAGGCTCCCACAGGGTTCAGTGTTAATCACTGAGGCTCACAGAGCCAGACTAAGGCTCCCACAGGGTTCAGTGTTAATCACTGAGGCTCACAGAGCCAGACTGAGGCTCCCACAGGGTTCAGTGTTAATCACTGAGACTCACAGAGCCAGACTGAGGCTCCCACAGGGTTCAGTGTTAATCACTGAGACTCACAGAGCCAGACTGAGGCTCCCACAGGGTTCAGTGTTAATCACTGAGGCTCACAGAGCCAGACTAAGGCTCCCACAGGGTTCAGTGTTAATCACTGATACAGAGCCAGACTGAGGCTCCTACAGGGTTCAGTGTTAATCACTGAGGCCCACAGAGCCAGACTGAGGCTCCCATAGGGTTCAGTGTTAATCACTGAGGCTCACAGAGCCAGACTAAGGCTCCCACAGGGTTCAGTGTTAATCACTGAGACTCACAGTGCCAGACTGAGGCTCCCACAGGGTTCAGTGTTAATCACTGAGGCCCACAGAGCCAGACTGAGGCTCCCACAGGGTTCAGTGTTAATCACTGAGGCTCACAGAGCCAGACTAAGGCTCCCACAGGGTTCAGTGTTAATCACTAAGACTCACAGAGCCAGACTAAGGCTCCCACAGGGTTCAGTGTTAATCACTGAGGCCCACAGAGCCAGACTAAGGCTCCCACAGGGTTCAGTGTTAATCACTGAGGCTCACAGAGCCAGACTAAGGCTCCCACAGGGTTCAGTGTTAATCACTGAGGCTCACAGAGCCAGACTAAGGCTCCCACAGGGTTCAGTTGTTAATCACTGATACTCACAGAGTCAGACTGAGGCTCCCACAGGGTTCAGTGTTAATCACTGGGACTCACAGAGCCAGACTAAGGCTCCCACAGGGTTCAGTGTTAATCACTGAGGCCCACAGAGCCAGACTAAGGCTCCCACAGGGTTCAGTGTCAATTACTGAGGCTCACAGAGCCAGACTAAGGCTCCCACAGGGTTCAGTGTTAATCACTAAGACTCACAGAGCCAGACTAAGGCTCCCACAGGGTTCAGTGTTAATCACTGAGACTCACAGAGACAGACTAAGGCTCCCACAGGGTTCAGTGTTAATCACTGAGACTCACAGAGCCAGACTGTGGCTCCCACAGGGTTCAGTGTTAATCACTGAGGCTCACAGAGCCAGACTAAGGCTCCCACAGGGTTCAGTGTTGATCACTGACACTCACAGAGCCAGACTGAGGCTCCCACAGGGTTCAGTGTTAATCACTGAGACTCACAGAGCCAGACTAAGGCTCCCTCCCACAGGGTTCAGTGTTAATCACTGAGACTCACAGAGCCAGACTAAGGCTCCCTCCCACAGGGTTCAGTGTTAATCACCGAGACTCACAGAGCCAGACTAAGGCTCCCATAGGGTTCAGTGTTAATCACCGAGACTCACAGAGCCAGACTAAGGCTCCCACAGGGTTCAGTATTAATCACTGAGGCTCACAGAGCCAGACTATAGCTCTCACAGGGTTCAGTGTTAATCACTGAGGCTCACAGAGCCAGGCTAAGGCTCCCACAAGGTTCAGTGTTAATCATTGAGGCTCACAGAGCCAGACTAAGGCTCCCACAGGGTTCAGTGTTAATCACTGAGGCCCACAGAGCCAGACTGAGGCTCACACAGGGTTCAGTGTTAATCACTGAGGCTCACAGAGCCAGGCTAAGGCTCCCACAAGGTTCAGTGTTAATCATTGAGGCTCACAGAGCCAGACTAAGGCTCCCACAGGGTTCAGTGTTAATCACTGAGACTCACAGAGCCAGACTAAGGCTCCCACAGGGTTCAGTGTTAATCACTGAGGCCCACAGAGCCAGACTGAGGCTCACACAGGGTTCAGTGTTAATCACTGAGGCTCACAGAGCCAGGCTAAGGCTCCCACAAGGTTCAGTGTTAATCATTGAGGCTCACAGAGCCAGACTAAGGCTCCCACAGGGTTCAGTGTTAATCACTGAGGCTCACAGAGCCAGACTGAGGCTCCCACAGGGTTCAGTGTTAATCACTGAGACTCACAGAGCCAGACTGAGGCTCCCACAGGGTTCAGTGTTAATCACTGAGACTCACAGAGACAGACTAAGGCTCCGACAGGGTTCAGTGTTAATTACTGAGGCTCAGAGAGCCAGACTGAAGCTCCCACAGGGTTCAGTGTTAATCACTGAGACTCACAGAGCCAGACTAAGGCTCCCACAGGGTTCAGTGTTAATCACTGAGACTCACAGAGACAGACTAAGGCTCCCACAGGGTTCAGTGTTAATCACTGAGACTCACAGAGCCAGACTGTGGCTCCCACAGGGTTCAGTGTTAATCACTGAGGCTCACAGAGCCAGACTAAGGCTCCCACAGGGTTCAGTGTTAATCACTGAGACTCACAGAGCCAGACTAAGGCTCCCTCCCACAGGGTTCAGTGTTAATCACTGAGACTCACAGAGACAGACTAAGGCTCCCACAGGGTTCAGTGTTAATCACTGAGACTCACAGAGCCAGACTGTGGCTCCCACAGGGTTCAGTGTTAATCACTGAGGCTCACAGAGCCAGACTAAGGCTCCCACAGGGTTCAGTGTTGATCACTGAGGCTCACAGAGACAGACTAAGGCTCCCACAGGGTTCAGTGTTAATCACTGAGACTCACAGAGCCAGACTAAGGCTCCCACAGGGTTCAGTGTTAATCACTGAGGCTCACAGAACCAGACTAAGGCTCCCACAGGGTTCAGTGTTAATCACTGAGACTCACAGAGACAGACTAAGGCTCACTCCCACAGGGTTCAGTGTTAATCACTGATACTCACAGAGACAGACTAAGGCTCCCACAGGGTTCAGTGTTCATCACTGAGACTCACAGAGCCAGACTAAGGCTCCCACAGGGTTCAGTGTTAATCACTGAGGCTCACAGAGCCAGACTAAGGCTCCCACAGGGTTCAGTGTTCATCACTGAGACTCACAGAGCCAGACTAAGGCTCCCATAGGGTTCAGTGTTAATCACCGAGACTCACAGAGCCAGACTAAGGCTCCCACAGGGTTCAGTGTTAATCACTGAGGCTCACAGAGCCAGACTAAGGCTCCCACAGGGTTCAGTGTTAATCAGTGAGGCTCACAGAGGCAGACTAAGGCTCCTACAGGGTTCATTGTTAATCAATGAGGCTCACAGAGCCAGACTGAGGCTCCCACAGGGTTCAGTGTTAATCACCGAGACTCAAAGAGCCAGACTAAGGCTCCCATAGGGTTCAGTGTTAATCACCGAGACTCACAGAGCCAGACTAAGGCTCCCACAGGGTTCAGTATTAATCACTGAGGCTCACAGAGCCAGACTATGGCTCTCACAGGGTTCAGTGTTAATCACTGAGACTCACAGAGCCAGACTAAGGCTCCCATAGGGTTCAGTGTTAATCACTGAGGCTCACAGAGCCAGACTAAGGCTCCCACAGGGTTCAGTGTTAATCACTGAGGCTCACAGCGCCAGACTGAGGCTTGCACAGGGTTCAGTGTTAATCACTGAGGCTCACAGAGCCAGACTGAGACTCCCACAGGGTTCAGTGTCAATCACTCACTGACCCACTAATTCACACACTAACTCACATTCACTCACCAAATCATCCATTCACTCACCCACTCAGTCACCCACTCACACACTCAGTCACCCATTCACCCACCTACTCACCCAACTACTCACCCACTTACTCACTCACACGCTCACTCACGCACTCACCCACCTACTCACCCACTCACTCGCCCACTCACTCACCTACTCACCAAACTACACACTCACTCACTCTTTCTCTCCCTCACCCATTCGCTCACTCACTCACACACTCACCCACCTACTCACCCACCTACTCACCCATCTTCCCATTTACTCACACACTCACCCTCTTACTCACCCACTTAATCACCCACTCACCTACTCACCCACTCAAACACTCACCTACTCACTCACCTACACACTCACCTACACACTCACCTACACACTCACCTACACACTCACTTACCTACACTCACCAACACACTCACTTACAAACTCACTCACTCACCTACACACTCACTCACTCACCTACACACTCACCTACACACTCACCTACACACTCACTCACCTACTCACTCACCTACACACTCACCTACACACTCACCTACTCACTCACTCACCTACTCACTCACCTACACACTCACCTACACACTCACTCACTCACCTACACACTCACTCACTCACCTACACACTCACCTACACACTCACCTACACACTCACTCACCTACTCACTCACCTACACACTGACCTATACACTCACCTACACACTCACCTACACACTCACCTACACACTCACCTACACACCCACTCACTCTTTCTGTCCCTCACCCATCTTCCCACTTACTCCCCTTTCATCCAACTCTCTCTCTCCCGCTCTCTTTATATCTCACCTCTCACCCCTTGCTCCATCTCCCCTTCCCCTCACCCTCACCCCTCCCTCTCCCCTCCCTCTCCCCCCACCGTCTCCCTCTCTCTGTGCGAGGAGTTGGAGTCGTGAGTTTGTCTCATCGGAGTTCTCAATCAACAATGGACTTCCTCAAGGACGCATTTACACAGGTCAAATACTCACCCTCTCACTCACCTACTCACTCACCTACACGCTCACTCACGTACTCACTCACGTACTCACTCACTCACGTACACACTCACCTACACACTCAGCTACTCACTCACTCACTCACCTACTCACTCACCTACACACTCACTCACTTACTCACCTACACACTCACCTACTCACCTACACACTCACCTACTCACTCACTAACTCACTCACCTACACACTCACTCACCTACTCACTCACCTACACACTCACCTACACACTCACTCACTCACCTACACACTCACCTACACACTCACTCAGCCTCACTCACTCACCTACACACTCACTCACCTATACACTCACCTACACACTCACCTACACACTAACTCACCTTCACACTCACCTACACACTCACTCACCTACACACTCACTCACTCACCTACACACTCACTCACTCACCTTCACACTCACCTACACACTCACTCACCTACACACTCACCTACACACTCACCTACACAGTCACTCACCTACACACTCACCCTCACTCACCTAAACACTCACCTACACGCTCACTCACATTCACACTCACTTACTCACCCTCTCACTCACCCACACACTCACCCACACACTCACCTACACACTCACCCTCGTCACGTGGTGTGTGGGTGTCACGCTGTGTACAGGTGTCACGTGGTGTGTGTGTGACGCTGACTACAGGTGTCACGTGGTGTGTGTGTGACGCTGTGTACAGGTGTCACGTGGTGTGTGTATTTGACGCTGTGTACAGGTGTCACGTGGTGTGGGTGTGACGCTGTGTACAGGTGTCACGTGGTGTGTGGGTGTGACGCTGTGTACAGGTGTCACGTGGTGTGTGTGTGACGCTGTGTACAGGTGTCACGTGGTGTGTGTGACGCTGTGTACAGGTGTCACGTGGTGTGTGGGTGTGACGCTGTGTACAGGTGTCACGTGGTGTGGGTGTGACGCTGTGTACAGGTGTCACGTGGTGTGTGTGTGACGCTGTGTACAGGTGTCACGTGGTGTGTGTATGACGCTGTGTACAGGCGTCACGTGGTGTGTGTGTGTGACACTGTGTACAGGTGTCACGTGGTGTGTGTGTGACGCTGTGTACAGGTGTCACGTGGTGTGTGTATGACGCTGTGTACAGGCGTCACGTGGTGTGTGTGACGCTGTGTACAGGTGTCACGTGGTGTGTGTGTGTGACGCTGTGTACAGGTGTCACGTGGTGTGGGTGACGCTGTGTACAGGTGTCACGTGGTGTGTGTGTGTGACGCTGTGTACAGGTGTCACGTGGTGTGTGTGTGACGCTGTGTACAGGTGTCACGTGGTGTGTGTGTGACGCTGTGTACAGGTGTCACGTGGTGTGGGTGACGCTGTGTACAGGTGTCACGTGGTGTGGGTGTGACGCTGTGTACAGGTGTCACGTGGTGTGGGTGTGACGCTGTGTACAGGTGTCACGTGGTGTGTGTGTGACGCTGTGTACAGATGTCACATGGTGTGTGTGTGTGATGCTGTGCACAGGTGTCACGTGGTGTGTGTGTGTGTGATGCTGTGTACAGGTGTCACGTGGTGTGTGTGTGACGCTGTGTACAGGTGTCACGTGGTGTGTGTGTGACGCTGTGTACAGGTGTCACGTGGTGTGTGTGTGACGCTGTGTACAGGTGTCACGTGGTGTGTGTGTGACCACTGCCTACAGGTGTCACGTGGTGTGTGTGTGTGTGACGCTGTGTACAGGTGTCACGTGGTGTGTGTGTGACGCTGTGTACAGGTGTCACGTGGTGTGGGTGTGACGCTGACTACAGGTGTCACGTGGTGTGTGTGTGACGCTGTGTACAGGTGTCACGTGGTGTGTGTGTGACGCTGTGTACAGGTGTCACGTGGCGTGGGTGTGACGCTGTGTACAGGTGTCACGTGGTGTGTGTGTGTGACGCTGTGTACAGGTGTCACGTGGTGTGTGTGTGACGCTGTGTACAGGTGTCACGTGGTGTGGGTGTGACGCTGTGTACAGGTGTCACGTGGTGTGGGTGACGCTGTGTACAGGTGTCACGTGGTGTGGGTGTGACGCTGTGTACAGGTGTAACGTAGTGTGTGTGACACTGTGTACAGGTGTCACGTGGTGTGGGTGTGACACTGTGTACAGGTGTCACGTGGTGTGTGTGTGACGCTGTGTACAGATGTCACGTGGTGTGTGTGTGTGTGATGCTGTGTACAGGTGTCACGTGGTGTGGGTGTGACGCTGTGTACAGGTGTCACGTGGTGTGTGTGTGACGCTGTGTACAGATGTCACATGGTGTGTGTGTGTGATGCTGTGCACAGGTGTCACGTGGTGTGTGTGTGTGTGATGCTGTGTACAGGTGTCACGTGGTGTGTGTGTGACGCTGTGTACAGGTGTCACGTGGTGTGTGTGTGACGCTGTGTACAGGTGTCACGTGGTGTGTGTGTGACGCTGTGTACAGGTGTCACGTGGTGTGTGTGTGACCACTGCCTACAGGTGTCACGTGGTGTGTGTGTGTGACGCTGTGTACAGGTGTCACGTGGTGTGTGTGTGACGCTGTGTACAGGTGTCACGTGGTGTGGGTGTGACGCTGACTACAGGTGTCACGTGGTGTGTGTGTGACGCTGTGTACAGGTGTCACGTGGTGTGTGTGTGACGCTGTGTACAGGTGTCACGTGGCGTGGGTGTGACGCTGTGTACAGGTGTCACGTGGTGTGTGTGTGTGACGCTGTGTACAGGTGTCACGTGGTGTGTGTGTGACGCTGTGTACAGGTGTCACGTGGTGTGGGTGTGACGCTGTGTACAGGTGTCACGTGGTGTGGGTGACGCTGTGTACAGGTGTCACGTGGTGTGGGTGTGACGCTGTGTACAGGTGTAACGTAGTGTGTGTGACACTGTGTACAGGTGTCACGTGGTGTGGGTGTGACACTGTGTACAGGTGTCACGTGGTGTGTGTGTGACGCTGTGTACAGATGTCACGTGGTGTGTGTGTGTGATGCTGTGTACAGGTGTCACGTGGTGTGTGTGTGATGCTGTGTACAGGTGTCACGTGGTGTGTGTGTGACGCTGTGTACAGGTGTCACGTGGTGTGTGTGTGACGCTGTGTACAGGTGTCACGTGGTGTGGGTGTGACGCTGACTACAGGTGTCACGTGGTGTGTGTGTGACGCTGTGTACAGGTGTCACGTGGTGTGTGTGTGACACTGTGTACAGGTGTCACGTGGTGTGTGTGTGACGCTGTGTACAGGTGTCACGTGGCGTGTGTGTGTGATGCTGTGTACAGGTGTCACGTGGTGTGTGTGTGACACTGTGTACAGGTGTCACGTGGTGTGTGTGTGACGCTGTGTACAGGTGTCACGTGGTGTGTGTGTGACGCTGTGTACAGGTGTCACGTGGTGTGTGTGTGACGCTGTGTACAGGTGTCACGTTGTGTGTGTGTGACCACTGCCTACAGGTGTCACGTGGTGTGTGTGTATGACGCTGTGTACAGGTGTCACGTGGTGTGTGTGTGACGCTGTGTACAGGTGTCACGTGGTGTGGGTGTGACGCTGACTACAGGTGTCACGTGGTGTGTGTGTGACGCTGTGTACAGGTGTCACGTGGTGTGTGTGTGACGCTGTGTACAGGTGTCACGTGGCGTGGGTGTGACGCTGTGTACAGGTGTCACGTGGTGTGTGTGTGTGACGCTGTGTACAGGTGTCACGTGGTGTGTGTGTGACGCTGTGTACAGGTGTCACGTGGTGTGGGTGTGACGCTGTGTACAGGTGTCACGTGGTGTGGGTGACGCTGTGTACAGGTGTCACGTGGTGTGGGTGTGACGCTGTGTACAGGTGTCACGTAGTGTGTGTGACACTGTGTACAGGTGTCACGTGGTGTGGGTGTGACACTGTGTACAGGTGTCACGTGGTGTGTGTGTGACGCTGTGTACAGATGTCACGTGGTGTGTGTGTGTGATGCTGTGTACAGGTGTCACGTGGTGTGTGTGTGTGTGACGCTGTGTACAGGTGTCACGTGGTGTGTGTGTGACGCTGTGTACAGGTGTCACGTGGTGTGGGTGTGACGCTGACTACAGGTGTCACGTGGTGTGTGTGTGACGCTGTGTACAGGTGTCACGTGGTGTGTCTGTGACGCTGTGTACAGGTGTCACGTGGCGTGGGTGTGACGCTGTGTACAGGTGTCACGTGGTGTGTGTGTGTGACGCTGTGTACAGGTGTCACGTGGTGTGGGTGTGACGCTGTGTACAGGTGTCACGTGGTGTGTGTGTGTGACGCTGTGTACAGGTGTCACGTGGTGTGTGTGTGTGACACTGTGTACAGGTGTCACGTGGTGTTTGGGTGACACTGTGTACAGGTGTCACGTGGTGTGTGTGAGTGTGACGCTGTGTACAGGTGTCACGTGGTGTGTGTGTGACACTGTGTACAGGTGTCACGTGGTGTGGGTGAAGCTGTCTCCCGCACGCGCCAGGGAGTCGTAGACGCAGCGGCCGCCACGGAGAAGGGAGTCCGGGACACCGGTACCCTCTAACTACCACTCAACTAGCCCCTAACTATCACTCAACTAGCCCCTAACTACCACTCAACTAGCCCCGAACTACCACTCAACTAGCCCCTAACTAGCATTCAACTAGCCCCGAACTGCCACTCAACTAGCCCCTAACTACCACTCAACTAGCCCCTAACTAGCACTCAACTAGCCCCTAACTAGCACTCAACCAGCCCCTAACTACCACTCAACTAGCCCCTAACTACCACTCAACTAGCCCCTAACTACCACTCAACTAGCCCCTAACTACCACTCAACTAGCCCCTAACTACCACTCAACTAGCCCCTAACTATCACTCAACTAGCCCCTAACTACCACTCAACTAGCCCCTGACTACCACTCAACTAGCCCCTAACTACCACTCAGCTAGCCCCTAACTACCACTCAACTAGCCCCTAACTACCACTCAACTAGCCCCTAACTACCACTCAACTAGCCCCTAACTATCATTCAACTAGCCCCTAACTACCACTCAACTAGCCCCTAACTACCACTCAACTAGCCCCTAACTATCATTCAACTAGCCCCTAACTACCACTCAACTAGCCCCTAACTTCCACTCAACTAGCCCCTAACTACCACTCAGCTAGCCCCTAACTACAACTCAACTACCACTCAACTAGCCCCTAACTACCACTCAACTACCACTCAACTAGCCCCTAACTACCACTCAACTAGCCCCTAACTAGGACTCAACTAGCCCCTAACTACCACTCAACTAGCCCCTAACTACCACTCAACTAGCCCCTAACTACCACTCAACTAGCCCCTAACTATCACTCAACTAGCCCCTAACTAGCACTCAACTAGCCCCTAACTACCACTCAAATACCACTCAACTAACCCCTACCTACCACTCAACTACCACTCAACTAGCCCCTAACTACCACTCAACTACCACTCAACTAGCCCCTATCTACCACTCAACTAGCCCCTAACTATCACTCAACTAGCCCCTAACTACCACTCAACTACCACTCAACTAGCCTCTAACTACCACTCAACTACCACTCAACTAGCCCCTAACTACCACTCAACTATCCCCTAACTATCACTCAACTACCACTCAACTAGCCCCTAACTACCACTCCACTAGCCCCTAACTACCACTCAACTACCACTCAACTAGCCCCTAACTACCACTCAACTACCACTCAACTAGCCCCTAACTATCACTCAACTAGCCCCTAGCTACCACTCAACTAGCCCCTAACTACCACTCAGTTAGCCCCTAACTACCACTCAACTAGCCTCTAACTACCACTCAACTACCACTCAACTAGCCCCTAACTAGCACTCGCTAGCCCCTAACTAGCACTCAACTTACCCCTAACTACCACTCAACTAGCCCCTAACTACCACTCAACTAGCCCCTAACTACCACTCAGCTAGCCCCTAACTACAACTCAACTACCACTCAACTAGCCCCTAACTACCAGTCAACTACCACTCAACTAGCCCCTAACTACCACTCAACTAGCCCCTAACTAGGACTCAACTAGCCCCTAACTACTACTCAACTAGCCCCTAACTACCACTCAACTAGCCCCTAACTACCACTCAACTAGCCCCTAACTAGCACTCAACTAGCCCCTAACTAGCACTCAACTAGCCCCTAACTACCACTCAACTACCACTCAACTAACCCCTACCTACCACTCAACTACCACTCAACTAGCCCCTAACTACCACTCAACTACCACTCAACTAGTCCCTAACTACCACTCAACTAGCCCCTAACTATCACTCAACTAGCCCCTAACTACCACTCAACTACCACTCAACTAGCCTCTAACTACCACTCAACTACCACTCAACTAGCCCCTAACTACCACTCAACTATCCCCTAACTACCACTCAACTACCACTCAACTAGCCCCTAACTACCACTCCACTAGCCCCTAACTACCACTCAACTACCACTCAACTAGCCCCTAACTACCACTCAACTACCACTCAACTAGCCCCTAACTATCACTCAACTAGCCCCTAGCTACCACTCAACTAGCCCCTAACTACCACTCAGCTAGCCCCTAACTAGCACTCAACTAGCCTCTAACTACCACTCCACTACCACTCAACTAGCCCCTAACTAGCACTCGCTAGCCCCTAACTAGCACTCAACTTACCCCTAACTACCACTCAACTAGCCCCTAACTACCACTCAACTAGCCCCTAACTACCACTCAACTAGCCCCTACCACTCAACTAGCCCCTAACTACCACTCAACTAGCCCCTAACTACCACTCAACTAGCCCCTAACTGCCACTCAACTAGCCCCTAACTACCTCTTAAATTGCCCCTAACAGCAGTACAACCCATGGGCACCTGCTGGGTCTGTCACGTGACCTCGTCCTCATGCACCTAGCCTGGCACAGCAGCAGCAGTCTTTGCTTCTCGCTACTACTAAGAGCCACTTGCCCCTAAAGCATGCTCGAGGCTACCTGTGGGATCTTTGTCATTGCTACTAACAGCACTTGCCCCTACAGCCCTGCAAGAGGCTACCTGGGGGATCTTTGTCTTTGCTACTAACAGCCACTTGCCCCTACAGCCCTGCTAGAGGCTACCTGGGGGATCTTTGTCTTTACTACTAAGAGCCACTTGCCCCTACAGCCTGCTAGAGGCTACCTGGGAGAGCTTTGTCTTTGCTACAAACAGCCACTTGCCCCTACAGCCTGCTAGAGGCTACCTGGGGGATCTTTGTCTTTGCTACTAACAGCACTTGCCCCTACAGCCCTGCTAGAGGCTACCTGGGGGATCTTTGTCTTTGCTACTAACAGCCACTTGCCCCTACAGCCCTGCTAGAGGCTACCTGGGGGATCTTTGTCTTTACTACTAAGAGCCACTTGCCCCTACAGCCTGCTAGAGGCTACCTGGGAGAGCTTTGTCTTTGCTACAAACAGCCACTTGCCCCTACAGCCTGCTAGAGGCTACCTGGGGGATCTTTGTCTTTGCTACTAACAGCACTTGCCCCTACAGCCCTGCTAGAGGCTACCTGGGGGATCTTTGTCTTTACTACTAAGAGCCACTTGCCCCTACAGCCTGCTAGAGGCTACCTGGGAGAGCTTTGTCTTTGCTACAAACAGCCACTTGCCCCTACAGCCCTGCTAGAGGCTACCTGGGGAAGCTTTGTCTTTGCTACTAACAGCACTTGCCCCTACAGCCCTGCTAGAGGCTACCTGGGGGATCTTTGTCTTTGCTACTAACAGCACTTGCCCCTACAGCCCTGCTAGAGGCTACCTGGGGGATCTTTGTCTTTGTCTCTCCACCTATTCGCCACATCCCCTGCAGGTGAACAAACGAAGGCAGAGCTGGAGCAAGGCCTCGCTACAGGTAAACCCCCCCCGCCACCCTCATTCAGTCACTTGGTACATCCCAACTCCTATACCTGTGCGTTGGTGGCGGAGCAAACCAAATTGGTGAGAAGGGGTGTCTTCATGCTGAACACATTTCCACCCCCATACACGTGGACCAATTGGTACAGTCCTCGTCCCGTAACTTTGTATTTGATGGGGCATCGATGTCTCCCCTTTTTTATCATTAAAAGTTGGTTTCTCCCAAGTACCGATCCCCAGTGCGTTCCTGATGGAACAAACCAAGTCACACGTACGGGAAACGCCTCGTGTTGAAATGTATACCCCCATGTTTACACTTGGTACGTCCCACGTCCTATACCCGTGCGTTAGTGACGGATCAATCCAAGTATAACATGGGGGATACCACTTTTAACATTGCAAAATATTGATATACCCTACCCCCCCTCTGTTCCCCACTTGGTACGTCCCACGCCCTATACCCGTGCGTTAGTGACGGAGCAAACCAAGCTGCACGTGGGGGTGCAATAAAAATAAAATAGGTGAACTTTTACCATTTAGATACATCAATATTTACCCTCCCCCCTATATTGAACTTGGTATGTTCCACCCTCTATACCCGTGCGTTAGTGACGGATCAGTCCAACTACAATATGGAAGGGAATACTATTTTTAACATTGAGAAATATCATTATCTGCCCCCTATCTTGCTACTTGGTACGCCCCACGCCCTACACCCGTGCGTTAGTGACGGATCAGTCCAACTACAACATGGGGGACACCACTTTTAACATTTCAGTATATTGATATACCCCCCCTCTGTTACCCACTTGGTACGCCCCACGCCCTACACCCGTGCGTTAGTGACGGATCAGTCCAACTACAACATGGGGGACACCACTTTTAACCTTTCAGTATATTGATATACCCCCCTCTGTTACCCACTTGGTACGTCCCACGCCCTACACCCGTGCGTTAGTGACGGATCAGTCCAATTACAACATGTGGGATACCACTTTTAATATTTCAGTATATTGATATACCCCCCCCTCCTCCTCTGTTCCCCACTTGGTACGTCCCACGCCCTATACCCGTGCGTTAGTGACGGAGCAAACCAAGCTGCAGGTGGGGGTGCTCAGCGAGGCCGTGGTGCAGGGCGCCAACTCGATCGCCCAGCAGGCGGTGCAGGGCGCCCAGAGCGTGGCCACGGCCGCCAACGCCACGGTGAGGTCACCGCAGAGGTCACAAAGGTCACCGCAGGGGTCACAAAGGTCACCGCAGGGATCACAAAGGTCACCGCAGAGGTCACAAAGGTCACCACAGAGGTCACAAAGGTCACCGCAGAGGTCACAAAGGTCACCGCAGAGGTCACAAAGGTCGCCGCAGATGTCACAAAATTCACCGCTGAGGTCATAAAGGTCACCACAGAGGTAACAAAGGTCACCGCAGAGGCAACAAAGGTCACCGCAGAGGTCACAAAGGCCACAGCAGAGGTCACAAAGGTCACCACAGAGGTCACAAAGGTCACCGCAGAGGTCACAAAGGTCGCCGCAGAGGTCACACAGGTCACCACAGAGGTCACAAAGGTAACCACATAGGTCACAAATGCCACCACAGAGGTCACCGCAGAGGTCACCACAAAGGTCAGACTCCAAATATGCAGCAGCAGCAGGCCAGGCGAGGTAGTCAACATCTCACAGGGTCACAGGATCGAACCCACGACCTCCTGTACACCAGGCGAGGTAGTCAACATCTTATCAGGGTCACGGATCGAACCCACGACCTCCTGTACACCAGGCGAGGTAGTCAACATCTCATCAGGGTCTGGGATCGAACCCACGACCTCCTGTACAGCAGGCGAGGTAGGCAACATCTCACAGGGTCAGAGGATCGAATCCACGATCTCCTGTACACCAGGCGAGGTAGTTAACATATCACAGGGCCTGGGATCGAACCCACGACTTCCTGTACACTAGGCGAGGTAGTCAACATCTCATCAGGGTCTGGGATCGAACCCACGACCTACTGTAAACCAGGCGAGGTAGTCAACATCTTATCAGGGTCACGGGATCGAACCCACGACCTCCTGTACACCAGGCGAGGTAGTCAACATCTCATCAGGGTCACAGGATCGAACCCACGACCTCCTGTACACCAGTCGAGGTAGTCAACATCTCATCAGGGTCTGGGATCGAACCCACGACATCCTGTACACCAGGCGAGGTAGTCAACATCTCACAGGGTCACAGGATCGAACCCACGACATCCTGTACACCAGGCGAGGTAGTCAACATCTCACAGGGTCACAGGATCGAACCCACGACCTCCTGTACACCAGGCGAGGTAGTTAACTTATCATAGCCACCGTGATGATGGAGAGAGACGCACACTCCAAATATACAGCCACTTGCCCCTACAGCCTGCTAGAGGCTACCTGGGGGATCTTTGTCCAGTGTAATGTGACGTCACGTCCGTGTCGTCGCAGGTGAAGAAGTGACGTCACCGCCGCCCCGCCCCCGCCATGACGTCGACGCCCCACGTAGACGCGTGACGTCACCCACCCTGTGTAGTGCAGTGTACTGTGTGTGTGCTGTGTGTGTACTGTGTGTGTAGTGTGTGTACTGTGTGTGTGTGAGTGACTGAGTGTGTACTGTGTGGATGTGAGTGTGTGAGTGACTGTGTGAGTGACTGAGTGTGTACTGTGTGTGAGTATGTGAGTGTGTGAGTGAGTTTGTGAGTGACTGTGTGTGTACTGTGTGTGTGCTGTGTGTACTGTGAGTATGTGAGTGTGTGAGTGACTGAGTGTGTACTGTGTGTGTACTGTGTGTGAGTATGTGAGTGTGTGAGTGACTGTGTGAGTGACTGAGTGTGTACTGTGTGTGCTGTGTGTGAGTATGTGAGTGTGTGAGTGACTGTGTGAGTGACTGTGTGTGTACTGTGTGTGTGCTGTGTGTATTGTGAGTATGTGAGTGTTTGAGTGACTGTGTGTGTACTGTGTGTGTACTGTGTGTGAGTATGTGAGTGTGTGAGTGACTGTGTGAGTGACTGTGTGTGTACTGTGTGTGCTGTGTGTGTAGTGTGTGTACTGTGTGTGTACTGTGTAGTGTGTGTACTGTGTGTACTGTGTGTGTGCTGTGTGTACTGTGTGTGTACTGTGTGTGTACTGTGTGTAGTGTGTGTACTGTGTGTGTACTGTGTGTGTAGTGTGTGTACTCTGTAGTGTGTACTGTGTGTGTACTGTGTGTGTGTGAGTGACTGAGTGTGTACTGTGTGTGTGTACTGTGTAGTGTACTGTGTGTGTACTGTGTAGTGTACTGTGTGTACTGTGTGTACTGTGTGTGTGCTGTTTGTGTACTGTGTGTGTACTGTGTGTGTGTACTTTGTAGTGTGTACTGTGTGTGTACTGTGTGTTTGTGTAGTGTACCGAGTGCGTGCAGTGTGTATGAGTATATTTGTCTCTGTGTGTGTACTGTGTGTATACTGTGTGTGTACTGTGTGTGTACTGTGTGTGTACTGTGTGTACTGTGTGGTGTGTACTGTGTAGTGTGTACTGTGTGTATACTGTTTAGTGTGTACTGTGTGGTGTGTACTGTGTAGTGTGTACTGTGTGTGTACTGTGTGTGTGTACTGTGTAGTGTGTACTGTGTGTGTACTGTGTAGTGTGTACTGTGTGTGTACTGTGTGTGTGCTGTGTGGTGTGTGTACTCTGTAGTGTACTGTGTACTGTGTGTACTGTGTCTGTACTGTGTACTGTGTAGCGGTTAGCGCTACCACCACCCCCACCAACACCACCCCCACCACCACCTCCACCCCCACCACCACCACCACCACCACCTTGGGGCCTCCCCTAGGTCAACTCAGCCTCAACATGAGAACCTGCTGGTGTCGTGAACACCGGGGAGAGACAAAGGCGGCCGGGCGTGGTGCTGGTAGCCAGCCACCCCCTCGTGTGTAGCCACAGTCCCAGAAGCCTTCTCAGGTGCTGTTCGCTGACAGCACTTGCCCCTGCAGCCTGCTAGAGGCTGCACGGGGGAACTTTGCCTTTGTGAGAGCTTCAATAAAGGAAAGGCGACTACCTGCAACCTCCATGTGCAAAATTCTCAGCGCGGTTTGTATCGTGATGTGTGGGATTCATACACTCACATCCACACTCACATTCACACTCACATCCACACACAACAACAACAACCGCCATTCGCCACTAAGTGGCGGTGACGTCACCACAACGCTTGTGCCAGGCTATGTGCACCCTGAGGCCACGTGAAGTGTCGAACGCCCGCTGGCAGGAGGTCACGGGGCAGACCCAGGTGCCACGGGTCGACTGACTGAGATGACTGGCTGATGCAGCACCTGTGCCCCCTACTGTGCCAATCTGCTGTGCTTTAGCCACCCGGCGCTCCGCTCGTTGTTGTTAGCGTCGCTCCTCTGCCCTCCGTTGTTGTTGGAGGGCGACTACCTCCAACTGCCTAGTAGCATCCTTCACGAGCCTCCTCCACAGAGGCCGATCTTGACACCGCTGGTACCAGTCATCGGCAAGTCCACTCAGCTCCAGGTCCTCCTGTACCACATAACTCCATCTCTTCTCTAGCCCGTGCCACGCCCGCTTTGCCCCCTCAATCCGGCCGAACAAAAGCTGTTTCGGCATGCGGTGGCAGGGCATGCGGGCTACATGACCCAGCCATCGCAGCCTTGCCCGCCGGAGGAGCTCACCAATGGGACCTTGCCCAGATCTTTCAAGGATTTGTGAGCTCCTCACACAATCCAGTCTGGTTAAACCCAGGATGGATCGTCGTCAGGCCAGCCTAAATGTTTCTAACCGGCGAAGATGTTCCATTAGGGGGGTCCACGTTTCGCAAGCGTAGAGAAGGGAGGGAATGACCGTGGCCGAGAATACCTGAAGCTTAGTGTGGAGCGACAGACCAGGTAGCTTCCACAAAGCGTTACGCAACCGATGAAAAGATATTGCCGCTCGACTGATTCGGAGTGAGACCTCTGCTGTTAAACTGGAGCCAGTCATAAGCACACTTCCCAGGTATGGGAAACTCTCCACTCTCTCCACAACTGCCCCATCACCGATCGGGAGTTGTGGGGGTGGAGTGTCCGATGGTACAAAATACCCAGGCAGGTGCTTAGTTTTGGTGGGGCTGATGGTAAGGCCCCACCTCTTAGTGGCACGCTCCAGTCTCAGCAGCAGCGTCTCCAACTCCTCCTCTGACTGAGCAGCTATTACCAAATCATCAGCATACATAACGTGGTTGAGCAATAGGGAGCCATCCCTTGACCGCACCCGGGCATCGATCAGCCTCCCATTATATCTGTACCATATGGAGATTCCCCCGGTACAGCTATTGAAGGATTCACGAACTACGTGGTCAAAATAGATGTTAAATAATGTGGGAGCCAGAGGACATCCCTGTCGCACCCCAAGGTGTACAGGGAATGGCTCTGACTCCCGGCCACGTAGTTTTACCCAGACCCGCTCACCATCATGAAGGTCCTTAATGATCGTGAGTAGAGGGTCAGGTACTCCAAAAGCACGAAGAACGACCCAGAGCCCAGGCCTACTGATGGTATCATAGGCCTTGACCAGGTCAATAAAGCAGAGATGTAGGTCTTGTTGGAATTCCCTACACCTCTGCTGTAGCAGACGGACAGAAAATATGGCATCTGTGCAGGACCGCCCTATCCTGAAACCGCATTGGGGCTCCGCAAACCTCTCCTCAGTGTGCCTGGCAAGGCGATGCTGAATATTCCTTGCCAGGACCTTTCCCGGCACACTGAGGAGTGAGATGCCCCTGTAGTTGTTACAGTCTGTGCGGTCCCCCTTCTTAAAAAGGGGGACCACCAGGGCATCCTTCCAATCCTGCGGAACCCATCCAGTGGTCCAGACTGTTGTTATGATGTCATATAGGGCTCTGGATCGCCTTCAGTACTTCCTCAACAGATGGCACCTCAGCCAGCCACTCACAGGGGGTGACTTCTTCCAATATTTGAGGCACCGCAGCCTCAGCAGGGTCATCCTCACTTTGTGCCACGATGTTTTCCTGGCTGTGGGATTTTCCCTCCCCCAGGACCTCACAGAAATGCTCAGCAAATCTGCAAACCTGTTCCTGGGGGTCGGAGATTGGATCACCGTTTTTTCCCCTAATGATGGTAATAGGAGTGGCGCTGCAGGTTACTTTTTTGATGGAGTTAAATAGAGATTTGTGATCACGGGCCACTGAGGCAGACTCCATCTCCTCAGCAACCCGCGACCACCACCCATCCTTGCAGCGCCTCACGGCTCTCCGAACCTCCGAGCGAAGGCTGCGGTAAGCCTCCTCATTCTCTGACGTGGGATTCTGTAGCCGATGGCAGTGGGCCTGTCGCTTTTTCTCAACCATCCTGAACACCTCCTCTGTCAGCCAGGGTCTCTGGGGAGGTCTGGACCGCGTACCCAAAGCAGCCATTGCAGCTGCATGAGTCACAGTCCTAAACCTCGCCCATTTACCCTCGACATCAGGAGGAGTCGGGGACGATGCCAATCCCAGCCGCAAGCGATGATGAAATTCTCGCTTGCAACTTTCATCAGATAACTGAGACCAGGCCACTTTAGGTCGGAATGGGGTCCTGGGTGTACACCCACCACCGGAGTGGAAGAATGGCAGGCGCATCTTACAGATGACTAGTCGATGGTCAAAGGGCAGATCAGCTCCACGGTAGGTCCTGGTGTCAAGGACATGGGCTCGCATCCACTGGTCCGTCACTATGTAGTCCAGCAGATGTTCTTGCTTGGACCCGGCATGCATCCATGATGTTGTGTGGATGCGCCGATGCCGGAACAGCGTGTTGGTAATTACAAGCCCATGGGCTGCACAAAAATCTAGCAGCCTCCTACCGTTGTTATTGAGCTGATCTGGCCCATGCCCTCCAATCACTCCAGACCAGGTGCCAGTATCATGACCAACTCGGGCATTGAAGTCACCCAACATGATGACTCTATCCCGAGGGGCCACTTTAGCCAGCACCTGTGACAGGAGGTCATAGAAGGCATCTGACTCATCGGCTTTGCCTGCATCCCTTCACGGATGTTCATCTTCAGTGGGGGCATAAGTAACCACGACCACCATTCCTCGCCTCCGGTTGATGGGAAGGCGAGCCCAAAGTAGCCTGGGGCTTACAGCTTCCCACACCTCTCCGCCACGCTCCCACGCCCCCTTCATTCTTTTGTTCAAAAGAAGAGCCACTCCCTGTTGTTTGGCAGTCTGCTGCCCCGAGTAGAGGACTGTCCACCCCTCGTGGTGGCAGGAGCCAGAGCCGGTCCACCGGACCTCCTGAATGCCGCATAAATCCAGGCGGTACCGATCCAGCTCCCGACAGAGGAGTGGCAGCCTCTCCTCCGCAGTGAGCGTTTGAACATTCCACGTGGCCACCCGTAGTGGCTTTTCGTTGTTTTTGGAGTAGCCCCGAGGGGGGGTATTCAATCTCCTGGCTCCGCCAATTGGGGTTTGGCCAGGAGACGTCATAGACGCTTGGCCCCCCGGGGCCTCCGGCACAAGCTTATTAGTTACATATTTCAGTTTAACTCGTGGTTTCGTGGTAATTAATTGAAGGTGGAGGGGTTACCAGCCCCTCGCA